ACACATAGAAATAAACCACATTTACACACCATTCAAAAGAGACAATAAAAAAGCTAAGAAGAACACATCCTCTCCAGTAGCCTATGCCCAGATAAGCAGGGATTAACACCAGACAAACAATCAAGCAGAAAACAATACCCTAATCAAGGAACTACCAAGGAGAAAACCACACCCCCACCAACACTGGGAGGGCAAGCTACTGTATATAAACAAGCAGCAAACCCCACACTCACTACCACTGATGAAGTTACCTAGTTGGGTAATGAAACATCTGCAAGCAAACAACCAAGCTCAGAGCACCAATGACTCTATGGATATGAATCTGTATCTGAGACTACCAGTTGTTATGTCTGAAGAATGTGGCCTTTTATCATTTATAAAACAAAAATAGTGAAACTTGAAATGCTTGTTTTGTTCAGTTAATTGTCCATTTTCAACACTATGCTCCCCTCCAAAATTCCAAATGTTACTTAAACATTATGCAACTCCTAAGGCAATACTGGTAGTCCTCACTTACTGACCACTTGTTCAGTGACTGTTCAAAGTTAAGACAGCACTGAACAAGGAGACTTATGACTGGTCCTCAAAGTCGTGGCTGTCGGAGCATCCCCATGGTCACATGTTGCAATTCAGGTGCTCGGCAACCAGCAGACACTTATGATGGTCACAGTATCCCAGTCACATGATCACCATTTGCAACCTTCATAGCCCGCTTCCAACAAGCAAAGTCAATGGGGAAGCTGGCAGGAAGGCACAAGTCATAGTCACATGACATTGCACTTAACGACCTGCGGTGATTCACTTGACTGCAGCCAGAACTGATGTCGTAAGTTGGGTGTAGTCATGTGACTTTTCACTTTACAACGGTGTCACTTAGCAATGGAGTTGCCAGTCCCAATTGTGGTTGGTAAGTGAGGACTATCTGTAGATATAAACCACTGAACTGCCATAAGCCTAAATTTTACTTTGCATTTATTCTTTTTCTCCATCCTTCAGCCACACAGGAATTCTTATATCTTACCCAATTAGCTACACCCAAGCTTGTATGTGTGTGCATGTGTGTCTTATATAGCTAGTTATATTTTGTTTACATTTACCCACTAATCACTGAAATTGCCTTCAGCAGCTGCAAATGCTATTTTAACCATGTAGTTCTTACATTTTTTTCCCAAAAGTTGTTACTTATCAGTTAAGTAATATTAGTGAAAGATCCCCATATGATGAACTCATGTCACCACTGTGAGTTATATTCTGCACATATTCCATTAGATCCAAAGAATGATGAGGTATGGTGGCCCCCTTTGTGCATTACTGATGCTGAAAACAAAAGAACGCATCTCTGCTGGCTGTTCATGTTTTTCAGCCAGGTTGAGAAATTATGTCCTTTATTGTAGGCATTCCTGGTGCAATAGAAGCACAAAGAAATAAGTTCTGTTTAGCCACGGGGGAAAAAGGTGTGGGCTATTCTGTCTATTCTGTTTTGGATATCAAATAAAACAGGACAAGAGAATTCTTGTAAGATTTTATGAAACTGATCCAAGAGTCACCAGCTTTTTCAAGTAAAATATACAAAGTTTTTTTCTTAGAGAAAAGAATGATGCTAAAAGGAATAGAGCCATTTGTTGAATAAAAATAACACATGTAGTATTTATAGTGTATGGTAAAGAAAAGAATAGTACATTTGCATTGAAACAGCATGCATTCAACTTTCATGTTTAGATTTGCCTGCACAGCAATTATGTATACATATATATTGTAAGAATGTACAAAATCTGGTAATAAAAATTATGTCTTCTTCTGGTACAGTACTTTCTAGCCTTTTCCTTCTCTCAGAGCTCTCTAGAATATGTAGACATTCTTTGCAAATGCTTAGCACCACTTTCTCAACATCCTGACTGTATCAGGTGAGTAAATGTGAGGGGCTGGTTCAATTACAACTTATGGCCAGTTGAAGTGTTGCCCTCAGGTGGCCTTAGGCTTTGGGAAGTACAACCCTACTTCTTCCATTTAATGAGTGGACTGACAAGGGAATAAAAGCAACCATACAGAGAACTCTCAATTAGTGGGTTTCACAACTTTAAGAACCTTTGTATTATTATGGTGTTTTTGCACTGACTAATCTCCCAGATGCGTATGTATTGGTGCTTCAGAGCTGTAACAAAGTAATAATTTCATCACATGTACTTTTTTTCAGAAATGGAAGCTGTGTAGTGTTTAAAAAGGGCAACAACCATGTGCAAATAACCATTTGCAGTTCGCCAGTTTGAAAATACATGAGTATCTTGGACATTTTCTTGCTGCTAAGGTAGACCCCACACTTAGCTCCATCCTTTTTTCACTTTCTCTCAATAGTACAATCTATATTTTTTAATGTGAAATATCACAAGCCTGTGAAATCAATATTATGGAAATGAAACTTTTAATTAAAAATTGTGAAGATGAACTAGCTCCAAATTTAAAGAATTTTAAGGGTACTTGTTTTCTATCAGTATTTATAGTAATGAAGGGCACTAGCTTCTCACGGACAAATACAAATACATTCCTGTCCTTCCAAAGCCATTGTTTTCTGTTAAGTTATTATAACTTTATATTTACTGCTTTTCAGATTCTGTGGAAGCTAGGGGAAAAAAAAAAGCAACAGTAATCTGCCAAGGGACTCCAAGAGAAGACTAAAGAGTAAATTCTAGCAAGGCAGCTTAAGCAAACCATTTGATACTTCATAAACAACACTCATTAGATGTTTCTCCTCCTTTTCAAATACATTAAGATTCTTCTCTCATGCATCTCCTCTATGGGACAGGTGATATACAAATGTCTGTATAAATATAAATAAATAAATAAATAAGTACACTTCCCTGATTCAGTGGCTCTGGCACATGATTTATGACTTGGGGAACCCACATGTATACAGTGCTGTCAATGAAGAGGGGTTACCCCATTCTTATGTATGGATCTAGTTTATATTTTATTTCAAATACCACCAAGCTTCAAAAAGAATTGGAACAGCCTTGCTTGCAATAACTGTGTTTGAATTCTGTACGTGGGAAAGAAGGGAAGGGGGGAGATAATTGGTTCAAGCCATAGTATTATGGCTCCAGTTTTGCATATATGTATATTTAACATGCATTCAGAAACATGTGGTTGAAGATGATAAGCTAAAGCATTGAAAATGGATAATGGGAGTATGGTAAAGTGAATACATTATACCCATCTGTTACTTTAAGCCACTCTGGTATATTTAAATATATTCCTTTATATGACACTTTACACAATTATGTATGAAAACCAAAGTGATCATTTACAATGAAATCTAAAGCATTTTACTAAGAAGTCCCCACTGTATTCAGTCAGGCTTGATAAGTATTCATTCTTCAAAGTAAAAATTCAAGCCACTGAACTAAAGGGGACTTACTTTTGAGTAGATTTATGTCGGATCATACTGACAGTTGTCACTGCTCCATTCTGAAGATGGACTATTGGCACAGTCACTTGCAAAACCCACTAACTGCTGCCAATACACCAACTACGGGATTAATGATACTTTGGGGAAAAAGACATAAAATAAACTTCATCAATGTTTAAAATGATTTAAGACAAGCAATATTTGATTACCAGTGAATATATTGCTGTGTATAAACTATTTCCACAATTTTCAATTTGTAAAAAGTTATATACTGAACCATATGTTGTCAAGCTCAAGTCCAAGTCGACAAAAATTCTTAAGATATTTTTAGTAGTCAATGAACTGAAATGGATTTTATATGGAATATGCTTTTTTGAGCTTATGTCCTCCTCCAAACATCAGTTTTGCAATGGCTTTCAGACCCAAAGTAAAACGTAATGCTCTTCAAGGAGTGCCACTTACTCCACAGGTCTCATTCTGTGTCTGCAGGGGATTACCCTTTGGCTCCATGTCTTGCCGTTTTTGATTCTGTTTAAGTTGGTTTAGGGATGGCTTTGCTTGTACAGCTCCCACAGTTTTGCTTGTCCATTGATCCACTAATTTGTGGAGATCATCTGTGAAGGTTCCTTTCTTGTTGTTACTGTTGTTGGCTTGTACCTGGACCTGTATTGTTGTTTGTGGTAGAGGATCTGGATATGCTACAAGACTGTTTGTTGAAGATCCTAAGACATCATAGAAAGGTAAGAATCAATTATGTGCATATATAATAGCATATCATTTTTTTTATTACGTTCATTTCACGGTATTTCTGAAATTACTGTATGTTTTATCATCTGGCTGCTTCTTCTGAAGAACATTTTTTTGCTTCAAAAATGGCCCTCCAGTAGCATAAATACATGCCTAAATATATGGTCAGAGGGATTTTATTTTTATTTGTCCAGACTATTAGTTCAGCCAGGATAAATTATATCTTCTTTCCTCACATAAGCCTGTTTTTTTCTTAAGTCCTAACTGGATCAGAAGAAAGTATTTTGCAGCCATTCAAATTTTTATATTTCTGCAGAATTCCCAAGTTTCTCCTTATTCTGTTCTGAACTGAACTGCAGTTTAAAGATTTTATGATCTTTTAAATCCTTTTTTTAAAAATTCCACTTTCAAGATAGTAGTAATGAATGACACAAGTGGCCATAATCTGAAGGACTACAAACATGGCAACTAAATATATTCAATCTAAATATCAAAATATTCAAACCTCATACATCTTGAAACTGGGACAACTATTGTTGAAATCATTACCCAAAATATGTTGCAATAGAGGCATTAAAACCAAAGTGAAATAAAGCAGTATTAATTGACTGATGTGTCTGAAATAATTCTTTTTCAATTTTCTCAAAAGTGTGAATACTAATTTTGAAATGACCAAAATTTGAAGCAGAAAAGTTCAAAGTTGTATTGAAATGGCATTACATACAATGAACTAACATATGAAATTATAATTTCTGTTATGAATTTGCAGAGCCCATGACCAACACCATTAGTAAATATATATATATATATATATTGCTTACATAAAACCTTAGGCCTTTCTTTAAAACCTGTCGTGCATTGAACTAATGTGAATTCTTATGCTCTTTGAAAAATAGAACAGTGAAAAGTGTTCCCCCTCATTTAAACCTCAGCCACTGTTCAGTATTTCAAGCATTTCAACAGATGAGAGGAACTATTAAACTGTATTAGTCAGCCAGCCGCAGAACAGCATTATAAGGAAGCTGAGTTAATTAGCAAGCATACGACTCAGCTTTATCTCATTAAAACTACACGTGTACATACTGAAATTATGATGATCTTGCAATAGGCATGCACCCAAAAACAGCACCAACATGCAAAGCTACGTTTAATTCATAAGCAGCATAGTTTAAATGCCATCATCAATGCAGTCTGCTGTTAAATAAACCACTAGATTATATTTAAACAAAGCAGCCCATGCTCAAAAATAAATTCCAAAAAGCCAAAAATAAAAGAGAGAGGGATAGTTACTACTACTGTGATCTTTGCCTAGACATAGTCGTTTCAGGGTGGACCCTACAAGGTAAAATGATACAAGACATATAGAGTTAGGTAAGACTAAAAAGGGGGAAATAAAAAAGTCTGATGGACAGTCTTCTGTATTTTTAAACAATAAAAATAACCATTATGCAAGAAGGAACAGACAGAAAGTCAGCAGTTCAGGTGTAAAAGAAGAAATAATGGGGCAGCTCAAAGCCTATAGAAATTTAATGCTATGAAAATAAACATTACAGAGTTTTTAATTGGCTCCTACCATGTTTCATTACATATAATATTTCTAATCAATGTTGCTTCTAAATCAGTTCCTATTCTGTATGCACAGTAAATGGTATCCATCTGACTTGTTTCTGTTAATGATAAAAATAAGAAAAAGCTGGCAGCAAGAACTCTTCTATTTCAGGTTTTAGATCCAGAGTTCTGCAGAACTAAGGCCCATCAAATTGAAAGTATATATTGAAATGCAAGAAACTGAATCATTTAACCTTGATCTTATCATAAAAATGCATATGGACTTACAGCTCTACTGTATAGGAGATGGCATTTCATATCAATCTTTGTTATTTGATGAGTTGGATAGAAAAATCCTACTGCTTAGTTAAGAGTGCTCAGTTGAATCCAATACACTGTCAACAACAGGCTAAGAAGATAAAATAAGGAGATCTATTTAGTCTCCTTGTCAATTTGTAAGAATTTCCTCTCATTTATTCACAGTGGAATCTTATTAATTGGTCTAGCTTTAGCTGGTTTAAATTTTCTTTTTCTGTTTTATTTATCTAAAAAGATCTAATTTGGCTTTGTAATACTACAACGGTGTCACAGAGGGTTATTCAACATTAGGTGCAAGTTGGTATCTCACAACTTGCTGTCCACCATCATTAACCAAGTGATTTGTAATGTGGTAGAATGATTACCTTTGCATGCAAACACAATCCCAATCATTCCAAACTTTGATAGTAATGTATGTATACATGTGGGTGCATGTCCATACATATATACCTAAATGGTGTTTAGCCTGAGTGTTACACATGGCAATCTTTCAAAATGAAAGAAAACTCTACATGCTTTACCTCACTAGGCCTTGTGCTGAATTTAGTTTTAATTTTAATCAAGGTAGAGACCTTCATCATGACATCATCACGTAGATGCCATGACTTACGTACTTGCATCAGACATCAGGATGCAAGTGCATATCAGCGGCATTTATATTATGATATCACCACAGTTGTTTTGTCATTTTGGTGTCATCACCTTTTACTGTGGGTGCTGCTGGCTCTTGCTACACTTCCTACATTCAATTATCATATTGTTAATACTCAATCTCATAGGAACAGCAGACTCCATAGTGCTAGTGCACATCAACAAGATACGTATTTTAGTGCCAGAACAATAAAATTGGACTACAGATTAACTGATGTCTGCTGATATGACACATTAAATGGGCCTAGCTCCAAAAAAAAAAAAAAAAAGTTTACTTTAGATATTATGCTTCATATGGGAATCAAAATATGGTAAAGAAAGAACAGCATGAATAGTACTTCCATAATGGACATATGATTAGATATGACTCCTCTCCCTCCATAATACATCTCTCAAAAGAAGATCAGTTGTGATTATTAAAATATAAATATATATAATATGCAGGATACAGCCTGGACTAGCTGTTAAGCTGTTATTTCCCCTTCACAATGCTGCAGGGATAACATTCTTACTTTCTGATAAATATCACTGAGCTCTTTGATTTTAGCTGAAACCCTCTTAAAGAGGGGTCAAAGTGAGTGATGAGACCACTTAAACACTTTGCATAAATTTAACGTATTTTCCTATAAGTGTTAATTTTTCAGTGGTCTCTTCTAAGCATTTCCTTATGGTAACTATATATGCAAATGTGTTTTACTTATTTACAAGACACTAAATCCTTAACAATCTTAGTGACCTAATAAGAAACTTCCTGCATGATCTGTTACCTTTGTACCTATGTATAAAGTCCAGTCTTTAAAGTGAGTGTTATACCACAAATTAGTTTTAAGAGAGCATACGGTCAAGATGCTCATGTAATTAGGTTTCAAGTTTATAATTAAGATGAATATTCCCAAGGCATTATGTACATATTTAAATGCTATACTTTTTTTTT